AGTTGATGAGCGATGGTGAATGTATCTTAATTAGCGCGACCCGTAGGGAGGTGTTTCAAAAACCCAGAAAACAACAACAAAAAGAACTGCAGAGAGAGAGATTGTGGAGGTATTATGTAAAACCATTACCCGTGGCGGAAGCAAACTGCCGTAAAAATACGCGACTGGAATGGATGGAAATGCTCCATTATTCTGTTTGATATATGACCTGAAGGCCTTGGCCTCCCTCCCTCACGAGTCCATATAAATTATAAGTAAATAAAAGGAGCGGAGATGGAGATGGAAGAAAGGGCAAGAAACGGTAAGTAAATAAATAGGAATTTGATATTTACTTGAGAACCGGATGACAGGTAATATCGTGTCTGCGAAGGAGACGGAGTCTCGAAACCCTTTGAGCATTGGAAATATGATTAATAGATAACAACGGTATAAGGTATCTCTTGTTTTGGAGCGGGAGACGACATGAGGGCTGCAGGGAATACAAGGAGAAAGTCTTACTCATATCGGATAAGGGAAATTTTAAAGTTTCAAGGCAACATGTGTGCTTTATATCCTCATCCATCCTACCTAAAGAAAAGTCAAGTTCCTTCGCTGCGCTGCGCCCTTCAATTTCTATGTTTTATGTTTACCGAAATTCGTATTATGATTGCATCAATTATTTATACAATTTCGGGTAGTTGAATCGCCTTCGTTTCGTTTCGCTTCGAATTGATAAATTACTTTGTGCAGGATCTAGCAGTATCTGCACAATATTGGATTCAGTCCAGAAGACGATTCTTCAAGTTAATATTAATGCTACACTCAACCTATTAACTATTCTAAAATGTCCATTCGCTTTCAATTTATCACATAAAAGAGTTTTTTTTATATACGTTAATAGTAGAATAAAATTTCAATTTTTCAAGTCTTTTTATTCAACATCTCCGATTCGTTGCTTTATTTTGAATTTTTTCTATTTTTAATACTCGTTTCACAAAAAAATCATTATCAAAAGCTGTTAAAAAACCGAATCCGTATCATTTTATAAGAGGTAGATGAGTTTCAAACTCAAATCATTTTCCTTATAAGAAATGAACGAGTTACAATTATATTCGTTCCCAAAAGATGTTCGAAAACCGAATTCAAATCATTTTCCTTATAAGAAATGAACTTATTACAAATATATTTGTTCCCAAAAGATGTTCAAAAACCGAATTCAAATCATTTTCCTTATAAGAAATGAACGTGTTACAAATATATTTGTTTCCAAAAGATGTTCGAAAACCGAATACAAATCATTTTACTTATGAATGAACGAGTTACAATTATATTCGTTCCCAAAAGATGATTGAAAACCGAAATCAAATCATTTTCTTTATAAGAGATGAACGTGTTACAAATATATTTGTTCCCAAAAGATGTTCGAAAACCGAATACAAATCATTTTACTTATGATGAACGAGTTACAATTATATTCGTTCCCAAAAGATGATCGAAAACCGAAATCAAATCATTTTCTTTATAAGAAATGAACGAGTTACAAATATATTCGTTCCCAAAAGCTGTTCGAAAACCGAATTCAAATCATTTTCCTTATAAGAAATAAACGTGTTACAAATACATTAATTCCCAAAAGCTGTTCGAAAACCGAATTCAAATCATTTTCCTTATAGGAAATGAACGTGTTATAAATATATTCATTCCCAAAATCTGTTCGAAAACCGAATTCAAATCATTTTCTTTATAAGAAATGAACGAGTTACAAATATATTTGTTTCTAAAACCTGTTCGTAAACCGAATTCAAATCATTTTCGCTGTACCAATTGAACAAGTTACAACTGTTACAAATATTTTTGTTTCTAAAATACTATTTGAATATCCAATTCTCGAAAGACCGAAATTATTTTTTTCCGTAAGAATTGAAAAATTAATCCAGTTACAAACATATTCGTTTCCAATTTCTATTCGTAAACTAAATTCATATCATTTTTTCTATATTTGTTATTCAACACAAATATATTCATTTCTAAAATATTGTTCGAAAACAGAATTCTTCAATTTTTCCATAAGAATTGAACGAGTAATCCTATTACAAATATATTCGTACCTAAAATCTGTTCGAAAACCGAATTCTTCAATTTTTTGTAAGAATTGAACGAGTAATCCTATTACAAATATATTCGTTCCCAAATGCTGTTTGCAAACCAAATTCAATTTTTTTTTTTGTATAAGAATTGAAATATTTTCGTTTCTAAAATACTGTTCGAAAACCGAATTCTTCGAAGACCGAAAGCATTTTATCTGAAGATAATTGACAGTTTGGTAAATTTATTAAGAATGCTTTGTTTATATTAAACAAAAATATTCTAATGTTTATGTATACAAATTCTGTGAGAACAATTTTTCTTTCAAAACTGAGTTTATTCTTAAAGGCTTTCTCGCGAGAAGAAATCAAGGTAGAAGAGATTTCTTTACGTGTTTATTCGCGAAGCGAGATCCGAATGCAGTATATGCAATTTTTCGCTCTGTATGCACATCGCAGCGTTGGATTTATGGTAAACAAATTGCATATTTCATAACCATCAGAGTACACGAAGAGGCCGGGCGGGAATTGCATTGTACGTTTCGAATTGTTTGTGTGTAGTGTAATTATAGACGGAGTCTGAGCTGAGCTTCAGAATGTTTTAGTTTATTTAGCAAACACTCCATCACTGACTTTCCTGCTGCTTCCAGAGAGTTTGCTGCACACCGCAACAGCAGCTTCTCTTAGGTACTCTCTCTCTGTCTGTCTATCGTTTGTACTAGAACTGGTTGCGCACGTGCTTGGAGGTGGTTTAAACATGCGATTGTGTGCGTTCCTGGGGCTTAAACTTTGACCCCAGGTATTAGTTGGGAAATTTCCTCGAACATTAGCATTCCCGTTGAACGCCGTTTGTCGATGCCGTCGCTCTTCACTTCACCCACCCTTCGCTTTGGAAAAGGGAGGCTTTCGAATTCCACATCGGATTAGTTCCGATCCTCTACGTATGTGCACACGCACTTCTACTTCTCTCCCACATCGTTGTTACAAGTGTATGTTTTCAATTGATGCTACAACTCAAACGTTACAAATCAATTCAACAATTTATTTAATAACCAAAGTACACATTTCTAATTAGATCTTTCAAATCAAATGAAAGTAAACAAATTTGTGATTTAATCCCATTGAATTAAAATACATATTTGCAGTTTAAATAAAAGCTAGATTGGCTTAACGACAAACTAATTTATTGAAGGCAATGTGTACGCACCATTAGATAATCCGTATTGCAGAGTTGTATAATGCAAATGCAATGTATGTTGGTTCAATATTATAGCGAAATTGAATAAACCGAATTAATCATGTTAACAATGATAAGCTTCATTCGAACACAAACGTATTGATGCATTATTTATTACAATTCAAAAACTGATTTTTTTCCAATTGTGTAAATGAAATTACGGCTAAATGGGAAATGTTACAATAATACCGACACTTTCTTTTTAAAGAGATAATATTAAGCTTTAATTTGGTTATTCATATATTAATTTATTGCTTATAATTATTAAGATAGAAGCAATAATGTAAACTGCTTTTTCGAAGCTTCAAATAAGTTTCTTCAAGTTTGACAACCAAGTGATAAACAACACAACAATACCAGTAGACAGCTTTTAAATAGTGAATATTTAGATTCAATTTGGTTGTTTAACAATGAATTTGTCGCTCATAATTTTCAAGATACAAGCAATTATGTAATGATACTGCTTGTTCAAAAATTGATGAGTATTGGCATAAAAATCTAAATATTTCTACATCTGCCGAAAACTTTTGTTGATCTAAACTCGTCTCTATTAAGTTTATCGAATGACAAAGATGCCTTTCACTGCGAACATCCATTTACAAAAGGAAGAAAAAAACTTCGCTATTAATAATATTAGTTTGGAGCATGTGCTGCGCGTAGAATAAAAAAGAAAATATAATTAGATCCGCTCCTCCAGGCACTGCCTTTCCATACAACCTAACAATCTCCGCACGTTCAGTATTCCAACTCATAAAAAAAACAATTAAAAAAATAAACTTACACAATACCAAAGCTTTATTTTATTTCATTATTATAGTGAATTTAAATTGATTTTTATAACTTGAATAATTTAGTTATTTTTTTTGTTAATACTGTTAAAAAATGTAATAAATTGTAGGAATTATTATAAAACTAGTGTTTTAGGTCATTAAGTAGACTTTTTATATTAAATTTGTTTGTTGCAATGTTAATAGAAATTTATGAAAACTGAAATTAAATTTGTCTTTCTTTGTTAATACTGTTACAAAATACAATAAATTGCAGGAATAATTAAAAATCATCGGACATTAATCAGTTTTTTTTGTTTATTATGAATCAATAAAATATTAAAAATGAGTAAATCATAACTGTTTTAGAACTTTTTACATTGAATTTAAACTAATTGTTGTAATGTTAATAAAAATACAAAATTTCATTAATATCAATTTTTTTTCCGATTTTATTCGCATGTGTTTTGAAGTCTTTATGTGTAATCCTCTAATAAATTTTCTTTATTATTATAAAGAAGTGTAATTTAAGATTTTGTATCAATTTTATTTAGCCGTATTTATTTGAGTGTGATCAATTGAGATTTGCGTTTGTCATTAGAGGTGAAGGCAAGTGTATTTACGGGTTTCTGATTTCATTGACTTTAATTTGATGGCACTCGAAGCGACAAACGCGTTCCTTTCTACATCTCCAGCAAGGTTAAAGGTATCAGATTCAACGTTAAAAAAAAAAGTATAAAGTAAATGTTAAGAGCAGACTTCGATCGACCCGCGTTTATTTGGGTCGAATCAAATTGGAGTAAGCTTTCAATTTAATTAAGTTAAATTGAAGTTGCAACAAGTTCTCAAGTTTTTCTTGTTGCTTTCGCTTAAGTTACGATGTAATAGTTTTGTTTGTTACAGTTAGTTCTTGTAAGTTGTTGTTGTCTGTACCTTGTCAGAGGTTTCCCTAAAGGAAAATCCGATCCGTGCGAGACTCACGATCGAAGGACCAGTAAATCCACATATTTGATGAAACAAAAAACTCACTGGATTTCAAGAACGGACAGTCTCTTTGTTTTTTACGCGAAAATCCCTTGGTCTTTTTTTTTTTGAAGGGATGATAGATGATTTTTTTTGTAGCACTTTGTACGGTCTTTCTCGAGGTGTAGGCAAAGAGAGAGGTCCGTGGCTCCGACGCCGTTTAAAATTAGACTGATTGAGAGAGAGAGAATTGGCTTGCCGCATTGGGGAGGACTTCTAATTATAGTCCAGTCGCGCCACTTCGAAAACAAGCGGAAATTTATTCCCGAGGCCTCCGGCTTCGTAAGATAATTAGCGGATCGTTTGATGACCACAACAGCCTGGACCCAAAGATTAGGACCAAAAAGGATTGATAGAAGGATAAAAGGTCTTAGAATCCTGCGGACGATTCCCTCTGCGTGTCAAGAAGCTTCATTGGATGCAGCAGTTAAAATCAGAAATAGTGCCAGTTTATAAATATACACAACGCAGTCTGGTAACTTTCGTGTGTCGTTCTTTTCGATCCTGCCTGCCTGCCTACACACCACTACACAGGAGGAGCTCTATTTACAATTTCATTAAACACAGATCCAAACTTTTATAACTTATTTATTTCCTCTGGCTTCTCATCCAACGCGGATCACTCAAACTCCTCTTGATAAACAGTTTGGATTCTTTCACTCGAACTTCTTCTTCAACAATTCAAACAGACATCCAGAACAAAACATTACAATTTATTATCCTGATCATCTCCAGATCTCCAAGTCGAAATTTCACTTAAACTTCTTCCATTCAATAAACATATTCAGTAACAAAATTATATCAACAACTTCCATCAACATTACAAAGAAAACTAAATTTTCTTAATAATCTACAACTATTTCTTTCTCAAATTATCTTAAACAAGTAATAAAAATATTGAGAATAAAAAAAGACATGTAATTTATCATCAAAAATTCGTCACAGCCAAACTTAAAATTTGACTATTTTTAAATTCGGACAAGTTTTTTTTTTCTTGTTGTTGTCAGGAGTCACCTAAATAAACAGACTTCGTGATTCACGTCTTGCGGTTATTTCAGTTGAGATGTCTCAAAGTCCGCGCATCATAATAAACCTGTATCAAACTTAATCTAATTTCATCTAACAAAACATTAATTAATATTGATTAGAAACATACGTATTTTGATAGTACAATTCATAAGTGGATCAGTTTTCGTTTCCTTTCAGTTTGTTAATAGGTTTCTTTTTCCGTTGCGACCGAATTTGGGTCAGATGGAGTTAGGTAAGATTGTTGCGTTAGGTCAGGTCGAAGGAAAAGACGTGAGTCAGGAAATCGTTTCATTAATAGATGCTAAATGAATGACGGAAAATAGATCAAATCTTTATTTAACATCACACGTAAATTAGAAGAAAAAAAGAACTGTACTCTGTTGAAATGTGTACACAAGAATATTCCATTAATTTTACTTTATTATATAATAAAAGCAAAAAAAACTTTGAAGTTTAAACTCAAATTTAGTTTCTTACTGTAATTGAATCTACAGTTAATTTTATATTTGATATAAGGCATAAACTAAAGTTATTAGTAATTTCTATATACAAAATGAGAGAAAGTGGACAATTTTTCGTCATTATTGTAGGAAAAAAAAGTTGTGTAATTGGAAAATGTGAAAATTAATTTTACTTTATTATACAATAAAAGCAAAAAAAAACTTTGAAGATTAAACTCAAATTTTGTTTCTAACTGTAATTGAATCTACAGTCAATTCTCATATTTGATATAAGACATAAACTAAAGTTATTAGTAATTTCTATATGGAAAATGAGAGAAAGTGGACAATTTTCCGTCATTATTGTAGGAAA